CAAGGGGGGAAGAAGAAGCTGTGAATTTTGTTCAAGTGTTGTCCTCAGATTCAGTTCCCTTGGAAAATGTTAATTGGACTGGCTGTGCAGAACTATAGGGGGACCCAAATTCATTAGCAAACCCTAAGGGGAAGTGCTACAATGCATTGTGAGAGTAGTAAACTTAACTCAAGTTTGGTTTGCAATAGTGAAAAGCACAAAACTTTGTACAGAGGGGAATCTTTTGGGAAGCTTTGTACGTAGCAAAACATGACAGTTAAAACACAAAAGAGAAGTTCACCAGCAGTTTTTGTGTTTTTTAAGTCAGCAAAACTGTAGTGCTGACTTTTAGAAACACACACTTACCATGTTTCGGGGTCCAGCATGTACCTCAACCTGCGCTGTCCCTTCTCCCCTGCTATCCTCAACCACTAACGTGGCGACAATCTCATACTGTGGGACAACCAGGGCTGTGACAGCATGCGGGGGATTCCGCAGTTCTTGGTTGCCCACTGCACCATGTGCGAGTCACGCTGTGCCTCCTTTATGGGTTCCGGCTGTCATTCTGGGGACCTGTGAAGGTTTACCAGGAGGACTGCGCGGGTAGTGAGGAGGTGGCCATATATGTACGAGCTCACTTCACCTCGTGGCCAATTGAGCCGGGGAAATAGTCGGGGAGAAGTTTCTTGTGGAAAAACTAGGTATCTTACTCCCCACCATCATAGGTGCCATAAATATAGCTGTGGAAGGGGGGAGGAGACAAGCAGAGCTTACGCTTTTGAGTGGAACTCCACTTTACATAGTGTTACCTAAACCTGGCTGTGTGACCATGCATTCCCCTATATCCGCTCTCTCAACTGGACCCTGCATTTCACTATTTCCGCGTCTTTCCTCCGGACCCCTTGCATTCAATTACTACTGCTCTTCCCTGGACCCTGCATTCACTATACTCCTGGTTACTAACAACAGTACTCTGAACATTGGAAATTCAAATTATTTTTAGGTGGAATATAAACTGCCTTATATACTTTTCTCTCATAAGCAGTTATATAGCAAGTTTTGAGACTTCTATCAGTGTCCATGCTGAAGCAATGGTTTAAAAGATCTTGGAAGAGGGAGTATTCATTTGCTCCGCACTCTAGCAAGGCATTGCATGAGACCTAGACATCCTGTCTGGGTACAGTGCATACAATTGGCTCCCTGTTTAATATTCTATTTAAGAATCACTAATGCTCTTTCCACCAAGAAACCACCCCAAAACTCTATATCAACTCACACCCACATTCAACTTGTGCATGTGCATTCTTGACACCCCCAAGGCTAGTCTTTATTAATCCAGGAGATATTTAGGAGAACATCGAAAAAAAACAAAAGGGGAAAGATCAGAGATGTCAAGGATTTAACAGCCTTATTTACACAATGCTAGAGGATAAACCCCCTTAGGTTCACACACCAGTGGGCTTTATAACAAAGCCATGGCTCTTTACTGCATATAAATGATGGTATGATTGCTACTGTTGTAGGTTTCTGCTCAACACTCGGTTTAAACCCACTGTTTAACTGTATTACTTCTGAAAATAAAAAGTTCTGACTTTTGGTAATGATGCCAAGGTCATTGCAAGGTTTTACTACTGAAATTGTGGATTCACTAATTTTAAGTGTATACTAAACCCACAATCAGGAAAATTCAGTCTGTCATTTGCAGGAAAGACTAAGCAATACCGCATTGTATAAAAAGGCTTAGTGTGTCCATGTATTCTCTTATTACTCCTCTTAGGTCTACCCTGTCCAAAACTCCCATCTGGGGACACAGCTGGCACTTCGGGTCAGTTTGGAGTCAGTGTATTGCTTAGTGCGTTTTTTTTTCTGGGAAGAGTTGCTGTTCATGGCAGAGGGTTCAAGGATCCTGCAAGGTTTCACTAGGACACTCAGAAGGAGAATGGAAACTCATTCCTACATGCTTCTTAAACACGTTGCTCAGGCTGGACACTGATAGAAGACTCCACGCCAGCTATATTTACTTGACTGATGAGAGGGATAAAAGGTATATTTAGCAAGGTTTATATTTACTACAATAATTACATTTCCATGATGTATGTGTGTACTTATTGGGTGATCACAGTTTAGTGCATTGCATTGTCTCGGGTTAGACTTCACCTAGTCACATGGCTATGGGTCCGAGGGGAGACCAGATTCTAGGTCCACACTATCCAGGGGTCCCCTTAGACCTTTTCTAGTCATGGCACTATCCATCCTTTACCTTTTTCTTACCCTAACAATATCAGTGGACACTTACCACGTTCTGGGAGACTCAAATATCCAGTGAATTGAGGGTCCGGGGAGGACACGGATATAGTGAATGCAGGGTTTTCTCGGGGAGACCCGGATAAGTGAATGCAGGGTTCCTGGGGGAGTGCAGATATAGTGATTGCAGTGGCCCGGGAGACCATCCTATATAGTGAATGCAGGGACTTTTCGGGGAGACTCGGATATAGTGATAGCAGGGTCTCCATGGCGAGAGCGGATATAGTGAAAATGCAGGTTACGGGAGAGACCGGATATAGTGAATTTGCAGGGTCCCGGATGAGACCAGATATAGTGATTAGGCAGGGCCCGGGCCCACCCCGAGAGCGGATATAGAGAAATGCAGGGGCCAGGGAGACAGGATATAGGGAAATGCAGGGTTCCCAGCGGGAGACCGGGATAATAGGGAACTGCAGGGCTCCGGGGTGGGACGGACCCGGATAAAGGGAACTTCCAAGGGCCCCACGCGGACCCCAGAGCCCGAGAATATAGGGGTATGCAGAGTCCGGGGAAGACCGGAGTGTTTGTGTGGGAATGCATGGTCCGGGGAGACCGGTTATAGGGAGTTGAAAGGGTCAGAGGAGACCGGATGCATAGTGACTGCAGAGGTCCTGGCGAGACCAGATTATAGTGAATGCAGGGTCCAGACGTGACCAGATACCAGTGGCTGGCAGGGACCGTGGAGAGTTGAGAGTGACTATAGTGAATGTGTGGGGTCCGGGGGTCTGGTGAGACCAGATATAAGGTGGAATGAACGGCGCTCTTAGGGGGGAGAGTGGAATTATAGTGAAAATGCGGGGTCCTGGGAGAACAGCAGATATAGTGAAAGCAGGGGACCGGGCGAGAGTCGAATCATATTGAGAATGCCTGGGGTCGGGGGTGACCAAGACTATAGTGAATGCAGGGGTCCGGGGAGACCAGATATAGTGAATGCCCGGGTCCAGCTAGGGCCGGGTCAGGGAGACCCAGATATCATAGTGAATGCAGGGATTCGGGGAGGTGAGGAGACCAGATATATGTGAAAGCCAGGGTACCAGGACGCGAGCACTAGATAAAGTGAAGCAGGGGTCCGGGGACGGGAGAGACCAGATATAGTGAATGCAGGGTCCTGGGAGAGCGGATATAGTGCATGCACAGGTCCTGGGAGAGCGGATATAGTGAATTGCAGGGTCCTGGGAGAGCGGATATAGTGAGATGCACACGGGGTCCAGGGAGAGCAGATATAGTAGAATACAGGGTCGGGGGAGGGTAGTAGGAGAGCGGGATATAGAGAATGCAGGGTCCGGGGGAGAGACCATGATATAGTGTATGAGGGTCCGGGGAGCACCAGAGAAGATATAGTGACATGCCAGGGTCCGGGATGAGACCAGATATAATGTAATGCGGAGGGTCCGGGACCCCCGAGACCAGAATATAGTGAATGCAGGGTCCGGGGGAGAGAGAGCGGATGATATAGTGAATTCAGAATCCGGGAATTTAGTACACACTTTAAACCCTTTATAGAAAAAACAACATCTTTTTAGTTTTGGATTGAGTGGAGAGGGAATAAAGCACATGCCAGGTTTTTATTGCTGTCTGACATGAAAGCAGTATTAAACCCAAGAGCAAACAAATTATTATATTGCAGCTTAGTCTGTGATCGCTGTGTATTTATCTTCTTTTTTTAGGCTTTCTTCTTGGCCTAAGTTCACACTGGCATTGAAAGCAGGCATTGGAGGGACGTTTTAACGCTCCTCAAGCACCTATGCAAATGATATTATGAGAGGCACAGAGTGCTGTTTCAATGATCGATAAAAACCCCAATCAAGTGTTCAGTGTTAGCGCTTTGCTTCAAAACCACCAAAGCCTCATGTCGTAGTACTCTAGTGGAATTTTATAGCTCTTTAAATGCCTCCTATTCAAGTGGTTATTATCGGACTCGACGCTCCTCAAACGCCCTGGCAGGCGTTAGGCGTTAAATCTGTGCGCGAGCAATTTGTAGTGGCGGTTCGTGACGCCCAAGTAATAACATTACAGTTTATTTAGTTTTGTGTTGCGGTTGGGGCCGCGTTATTTTTAACGGATTGGGTTCAAATGCTAATTTTTTTTTTAAAATGCTTCCCAAACAAGTTTCAAATAGGGGCATCCTTTAGGGGACTGTTTAAAGCATACCAAGACTAAAGCATCTATTAATGCCTATACTATAGCTATAGCAGTGTTTGGTAAATTTAGAAACTTAGTCAAGTGTGAACATAGCCCCAAGTCTCCTTGTGTTTTTTGTTTTTTTTCTTACAAACAGTGGCTGATGGTTAGCACTTCTGCCTGGCAGTACTAGGGTTGTTGGTGTTCGAATACCCAACCACGGCACCACCTGCCTGGAGTTTGCATGTTCTCTCTATGTGCCTGCATGGGTTTCCTCAGTACTCGGATTCCTCCCACTCACTCCAAAGACATGCTGGTAGGTTAATTGGCTCCTGTCTAAATTGTCCCTAGTATGTGTATGTATGAATGTGGCTCGAGTTTGGGACCTTAGATTGTACACCCCTTGAGGGTTAGGGACTGATGTGAATGTACAATATATATGTAAAGTGCTGCGTAAATTGATGGTGCTATATAAGTACCTGAAATAAATAAAGAACAAGCTAATCCTGCACGATGTATTTGTTACAGACAAACCATGAACTTACCGCTGGATAGGCGCTTCCTATGATCAGCTTTTATTTATCTCTGTAAAACCTTTATACCAAAAGGAAAAAAATATTTGCTGTAAACTGCTTGTAAATGTATTAGCTAGAGTTTGGCTTCAATTTGTTAGTGTATTTAAATCTGCTAGTACATCTAACACTCCCCCCCCCCCCCAGACTGACATCCAGAGTGGGGGCGCTCTAATACAGGAGGTGTGTTACTGGCCAGAACACCAGGTAAAAACAGAGGAAAAAGCCAAAGAAAAGAAAACAGATGTTGCAGCCACCACTAATGACTGGTAAGGCTGCAACAACCAGATTACAGTTTGGGTTTTACTACCGTGTAGCGGTACCCCATCATAGAAGCTGCTGAATATTCCCATGCCTAGGGATTCCTTTTTCAACCGAGAAGTTGCCCCGCCAATCAGGCACAGTCGCTCCTTTCTACTCAATAAAACAAAGTAGGGGTTTTTTTGGCCTTTGGGCTCATGGCTGCAACCCTGCAGCTGATAAACTCACGTTCAGGAGCTGTTCAGAGTGTTTTTTCCAGCAGCCCCTGAACTCTTCTACCCAATGTTTTCCTATGTGTCTGTGTACACAAAGTCATTTACAGGCAGTTGAGTTGTTCAGTCGTTTTTTTTAAACGCAGAAAACTTGCCGTTCAGCAGTGTAGATTTTATCAGCGTTTCAAACACAAAATGCTTGTAGACGTGTGTAAACGCGGCCTAAACTGCGTTATATAGGGGCGTTTGCAATTTTTTAACTCTTCCATTTTCCAGATGCTGTCCAGAGCCTTTTTTCATCATGAAACCATTCATGCAAAGCGTTTTTTTTTCCCGTACTCAAATTGAACTGGTACATCATACTTTGTAGGTTTCGCATGAAAAAAAAACATATATGTTAGACACTGCTGCAATAATTTCTGCACAGAAGAGAGCTGGAAACACATCCAAACACCCAGGCCCTCCGCAAAAAAAAAGACAGCTAATCTCAAACACATACTGCACTCTGCTTGCCTTCTGCTCTGTCTATTTCTCTCAAAATGTCTGAAATAGTTAATTTTTTACTGCTTTTCAGTGCATTCTGGAAGGTCTCCTGAGGTTATTTTTTAAAAAACGCTTCTAAACGCAAACGACTCATAAATTGCGCAGCTATAAGCGCGGTATGCAAACGCGGCTAAACAGGCATTTTTTAACCTACATTTTCCAGCAGTCAGTTCCCATCGTTCAGAAGTGTCCCGTGTACATGGGGCCTTTTATTTTAACTTGGATGGGAAAATAGGGAACCCAGTGAGTTACTCTGAATCTATGTACAAACAGGAGGACACTCTCTTATGTAGAACTATGGACAAGTCTTTGCACAAGTAAATTGTGGACTGAGCCTTGTTGTAGCAACTTGAGAAATCTGAGCTGGGTCCTTTCACTAGGAATTAAATAGACTAATCTCCTCAGGACACTAGACACAATGGGGTGGATTTACCAAAGGCAAATAGACTGTGCACCATACAAGGTGCAGTTATACTCTGTAAGTGCAATTTCTCCAGAGTTTTGTAAATTAGTTAAAGATTCGCTTTGCAAGGAATACCCAATCATGTGCAAGGAAAATTGAAAAAAAAAGCACTTTTGCTTGCACATGATTGGATGATGGAAGTCAGCAGAGCTTTATCTAATTTATTAAGCTTTTGAGCAACTGCACTTTGCAAAGTGCACAGTCTATTCGACTTTAGTAAATCAACCCTAATGTCCCCTTTGAACACAGCTGACTCTATAGCAGTGTTTCTCAACCTTTTTTCAGCCAAGGCACCCTTTAAAATTATGGACAGTCTTGAGGCACCCAATCTAAAATGTGAAAAAGTATTCTAATACCGGTAGTTGTATATAATTCAGCAACATCCACATATGTAGGACACTCAAGATTAGAGGTGATTTATTCTTCCAAAGCAAATACACGTTTGCACACTGGTGCTGACTAGTATTCCAGTGTTTCTCCTCTCCCTCAGTTTTTCTCCATCACTGAGCTAATGTGACCCCAGCACTGATGGAGAGCGGCAGGGAGGGTCAAACTAGGATGCTGTGCAGGCAGCTGACATCCTCCTTATCAACTGATGATGTCATTGGTTGTCAGGATGCCGGCAGCTAGAAGGTCGTAATGGTGCACAATGAAAACCTGTGGCTTTATGTAACTAAAAGGCAGGCGTGTTCCATCTGCTGGCTTGTAGACAAGTTTTGGGCAATTTGCAGACATTTTGCCAAGGCACCCTTGAAGAAACCTCAAGGCACCCCAGATGTCTGGGCACCCTGGTTGAGAAAGGCTGCTCTATAGCATCAGAGAGGTGGCAACAGCACACAGTCCCTAGGATCTCTCACACCAGTCTGTGCTCACTAATGTCCTTGGATAATTGGTTGCCTCCTTACAATATCTTCCATTTTCTCCCCGTGATATCAGACTAGATCCTCAGATGACAAGCCCTTTATTCAGCCTCAGCAACTTTCATCAGAATTGGTCCCCCAGCTAGCTCAGCTGGGACCATGATGAACAGCAGACACGTGGGAGGCTTGCCCAGGGACAATCAGTCCCCCTGGTCTGTGATCTCCTCAGGGACAAAACAATTCTGTTCCAGGTCTCAGGCTATTTATACTTCGATATCATAATTATTATAATAATTTTAATAATACAAATGATCTTGTTTTATACTGGTCTGTAGGTGCCTTCAAAGTCCATATTTTTGATTATCAAAATATATTATTATTAATTATTATAAATTATTGTGAAACACAGAACAGACCTAAACAATCAGCCACAGCACACTGATGACAGTGAGCCAGAACTAAATTTACCTAGCACCTGCCTTCCTTACTCTATCTAAAATGAAAAAAAAAAAAAAAAGCTTTGCCTGTAGTTCTATTTTAACCTCCTCCCGCCCGCCATATAAGGAAATGACGGACGCAAGGCGGTTCTCTCGGTCTGGGAAAGACGTCGTATGACGTCCTCCCACTCTCGTGTGTGGCTTCGGGGGGCACGCAATGTGGCAGGCGCAGCACCCTTTGGTGCCTTGTGCGCTGTGGCATTAGAAAAAATTATGGAAATTGCTGTTTCTTTGTTTGATTAGACTGACTTTACTCTGTAATTCCTCCAATGCCGCTCTATGGATGCAGTAGATTTAAAGAGCACACCGAATACTTTAGTTAACTTCTTTAATAACTTCAATCTTCTTCATATAACTGCTTACAATGGCTTGTTTCGTTTATCTTACAGTGACTTATTTCTTTCATATTACAATGGTTTAATTCGTATTACATTGGGTTGATTCGATAGCTTATCTCGATAGATTCGATAGGTTATTTTGTTCTGTATATTTTGATAAATTCGTAAATTTGTAAATTCGTTAGATAAATTCGTGGAACTACAAGTAAACACATACAACAGTTTTTACACACAGATCTACCTGCACACTGTTAAACCATAGAGGAACACACAAGTGTATTAAATACCTATTTGGCCTTCTCTACTTCCATGGAACTTCTCTGATTGGAACTTTGTCTGTTTCCTCTTCTGTCTGGTGAGCATGTGTCTCTAG